TGGCCGCAAACTATGAACTGGATTTCCTGAATGTTAGGCGGGTCTTATTACTCTGGGTTCATGAGACAAGCTGCCGTTCAGAAAATCCATTTCATAGTTTGAAGCCAACGTGCAGCGCAACCACAGACATGTATCATGGATTGGAAATATTGTCAGGTGGATCGGAAAAATCCGATACGTAAATGATGCTGGTATCGGAGGCCGATACCGATACTGGATCGGATCGGCCCCATCCCTAGCTACAATGTCACCAAATTTCAGCTCTCTGTGTATAAAAATGGCTGAGTTAAAGCCATTTGCAATGCAGCAGCCCGGTTTTTGACCAGCACAAGCAAAAGAGAGCACATTACACCTGTTTTGGCCTCCCTACACTGGCTTCCGGTTCACCTTCGAATCAAATTCAAAATACTCTTGTATGTCTATAAATCACTAAACAGCTCTGCCCCCTCCTATCTTACTGATCTGCTCCAGCCGTATGTCCCACCATGTTCTCTCAGATCAGCAGACCAGTTGCTCCTAACAGTCCCAGGAACCCGTCTCAAGCGCAGAGGTGACAGGGCCTTCTCTGTAGCAGGCCCAAGACTTTGGAATGAGTTACCTCTGCTGGTTAGACAGGCCCCCTCCCTCACAGTTTTTAAATCTCGCTTAAAAACACACTTTTATTCCCTGGCTTTCAGCACTGTGTGATCTGTGCTGAGTCTGTGTGCATCACACTGTGTTGGTCATGTTGCGGTTGTTGTTGTTATCCATTATTGTTTCTGTTGGTTTCTACTTTTTGGTGTCCTGTTATGTAATCTGTTGCTGTGTGCTTGTTCTGTTTGTCCCTGTACAGCACTTTGGTGTGCTTTGTCACTGTTTAAAGTGCTTTTATAAATAAATTGGTATGGTATGGTATTTGAAAGTAGCTATGGTGGTCATGGATTTTTGATTTTTATATAGCATTTGATAGGAAACATTCTCAGCTATCCCCACACCAAGTTTCAATATCATTAAAATTGACCGATTTATAGTATTTTTCCATTTTTGCATTGTTGGCCATCTTGGATTTTTGATTTCCAAAAGCTACTTCACCTAACTTGCATGTTGAATCAAAATGGCCGTTCCACCTAACTTTCATGTTAAATCAAAATGGCCGCTTCACCTAACTTGCATGTTGAAACAAAATGGCCACTTCAACTAACT